TCAATCTCCAATCCGATCCTCTGGTTAAAGCAGCACTATCTCTTGTCTGGACTACAGCAATAGCCTGCTAACTGATTGCCACCATTTGTCTCCTTCTAACCTAATCTCCATATTATATTTTACAAAAATATAAATGTCAGCATGTAACTCCCTGCTTAAAATATTTCAGTATATTCCTATTCCTTTTAAGGTAAGTCTAGGGTTTAATTCTTTTTATTTTATTTTTATTAGTACATGTTTTCAACACATAACGATTACATTCATTGTAGAGAGTAGGTACACATACATAATACATCTTAATTCTTTCTTTTCATTCCCTTTCCTTTTTCTGCCTTTCATTTCCTCCATCTCTTGATCCTCTTTTCTCTAAAAGATCTATCTTCCTGTTTCCTATTATGTTTTACTTGTCTTATAATTCATGTGTATTTTGAGTTTTTCCTATAAGAAAAATCATGAGATATTTAAGCTTCTGTGTGTGATTTATTTCACTTAATATTCTCGTCACGAGCTGCATCCATTTTCCTGCAAATGACTCAAGTTCCTCCTTCTTTAAGGAAGAACAGTATGCTATTATGCATAAGTGCCACATTTTCTTTATCCATTTATTTATTTATGGATGTATAAGCCATTTTCAAGAGTTAGCTATTATGATATGTGCTACACTACTTCATCACAAAACAGGTCAGGAGAGACAAAGGGGGATAACTAAGAATTTATTTAAAAACAATTTAATAGCAAGAAGTAACAATTATAAGCATATATGCACTGAACCAAGTGCACCAAACTTCATCAAATAAACACTACTGAACATGAATGATCAGATAAATATTGACACAGTTATACTGGTGGACCTCAATACTCTACTTTCACAAATAGACAAACTAGACAAAATATCAGCAAAGTACCACAGTTGAACAAAACCTTTGAAAAAATCAGTGTAATAGATACTAACCAAATGTTTCACCCAACAACAAAATACATATTATTCTCAGTAGCACTTGGAACATTCTCCAAAATTCACAGCATGCAGGCCAATAAATCATGCTTGAAAGTATAAAACTGAAATAGTCTCACCCATATAATCACAACACAGAGCAATGAAACTAAAACTCAATGGCCAAAGAAACCACAGAAATTATGCAAATACATTGAAATTAAATAATACGCTCTAGAATGATCAGTCGGTCATGATAGAAATCAAAGAAAAAATTTTGGAAGTACTAGAATCAAACAATAATGCCAATGCAACGTATCAGAAGATATGGGACACAAGGAAAGCAGCCCTGAAATGAAAGTTTATAGCTGTGAATGCCTACATTAGAAAAACAAAGCTGGCCCAAATAAATAACCTAATGATCCACTTAAAGGTCCTAGAAAAATAATTCAAATACAAAGCTAGTACAAGGAAGGAAATTATAAAGAGCAGAGCAGAAATTAATGAATTTGTGACTAAAATACAAAAAAAAAAAAACCCACAATACATCAAAGAACTGGTTCTTCGAAAGAATAAACAAAATAGACAAACTTTTAGCCAATCTTACCAGAAAGAAACAGACCCAAATCAATTCAATTGCAAATTAACTGGATGAAATTATGACAGAAAACTGGCAAAATCCAGAAGATTGTAAGTGTCTATGCTGAAAATTTGTACTCTATTAATAACTGAATCCAGAAGAAATGGATAGATTCCAAGATGCACATGAATCACCAACACTGAACCATGAATATATAAAAATGATGAATAATCCAGTAACAGATAATGAAATTAAAGCAGCAATAAAACACCTACCAAATAAGAAAAGCCTAGGATCCAATGAATTTACCATGGAATTCTTCAAAAAGTTTAGGAAAAATATAATGCCGATATTCCTCAAACTCTTTAATGAATTTAAAAGGAAAGGAGTGTCCCTAAATCATTTCTGGCAGCTAGCATTACTCTGATTCTAAAATCAGACATGGACCCAACCCAAAACAGAGACTATAGTCCAATCTCTTTAATGAATATAGATGGCACCCGAAATAGCAAAAGCAATCCTAGCCAACAAGTGCAAAGTATTATTGCAATCTTGAATTTCAAATTATATTACAAAACACAAATCTTCAACAAGATACTGACAAAAAGAACACAAAAAAATCCTCAGAAAGATCATATATTTTTACCAACAGACTTCATCTCTGGGATGTAAATGTGGTTCAACATAAAGAAATCAATACATGTAACACATAGATCATCTCAATAAACACAGAAAAAAGTCCTTGACATAACATTCATTCATAACAAAAGTCCCTGAAAAAAACAGATATAGAAGAACTTTATCTCACTCTAATAAAAGCCATTTATGGCAAGCCTATTGCCACATAATGTTAAATGATAAAGTTGAAAAGCTTTTTTCTGAATCAGGAACAAGATAAGAATGTTCATTATCACCACTCCTGTATAATATACTGTAGTGATCAAAATATAAACTAGACTAATCAAGCAAAAGAAAGACAGAAAACACAAAAGGAAGGACTCAAATTAGCATTATGTTCAGACACTAATTCATAGGAGACACAAAAATTCTACCATGAGATTCCTATAATTAATAAATTCAGCAATGTAATAAGATAAAAAATTAATGCACAAAAATCAATAACATTTTTGTACATCAGTAATAAAGTCACCAATAAAAGAAATTAGGAAAATAATGCCATTCAAAATAGCACCAAATAAAAGTTAGTACTTAAAAATTAACCTAAACAAGGAAATGAAAGACCACTATAATGGAAATTATAGTATTCTGTGAAGGACATCAAAGAGGATATTGGAAAATGGAAAGACACCACCTGTGGATAGGCAGACCTAATATTGTTAAAATGACCATACTTCCAAAACTGACACATTTAATGCAATCCCCATGAAAATACCAACATTTACAGATCTAGAGAAAACAACCCTAAAATTCATGCGAAAATAGAAGGTGCCCAGAATAGCAACAGCAATCCTAGGCAACAAGAGCAAAATAGAAGGCATTGCAATCTTGGATTTCAAGTTATGTTACAAAGTGACAATGATAAAAATAGCATGATATGGGTATAAGAACAGACATGTGGATCAATGAAAAAGAATAGAGGATAAAGGAAAAGATCTAGTCATTCAGTCATCTGAGAAAAGGGGCAAAAACATATGCTGGAGGAAAGATAAATAGTGCTGCTGGGATATCTGGCTATCCACATGCAGTAGATTGAATCTAGACCCATTCTCTCACCATACAGTAAACTAAAATAAAAACAGGGAAAAGATCCAAATGTTAAAAGGAAAATACCTAATCTTCTGGAAGATAAGACAGATAAAACACTTGAAAACATAAATCATAGGCAAAAACTTTCTGAACAGAACTGAAATTGTACAAAAAAAAACATCAAGAATCAAATAGGCTCCTATCAAAGTAAAAAGCTTCTGTACAGAAAAACAAAACAAAGGAATAACTCAAAAACTTAATGAACAGGAAAAACATTTGCCAGCTAACACTCAGAGAATTAATATCTAGAATAATTTTTTTAAAAAATTAGACAGTCCCAGTAAAGATCCAGTCAAAAATGGGCAACTGAAATAATAAACACCTCTCAGTAGAAGTACAAATGAAAAAATGATCAACATTTCTGGTCAATGGAGAAATACAAATTAAAACAACACTAAGATTTCGTCTTACTCAAAAAAGAGTGGCAATCAATAGGAAATCAAACAATAACAAATGCTTATGAGGATGCAGGGGAAAAGGAGCTTGCATGCATTGTTAGTAGGAATGTAAAATAGTGCAACCTGTGGGAAACCCTGTAATTGGCTGCCACCTTATATCTGCAGGCTGTACCACCTTAACATCTGCAGGCCACACCACCTTAACTCCCTCTAAGAGTTAAGTTTGGTAGTTAAGTAGCACCTTGCCTACCTAGCTTGTTTGGCCTATTCAAGAATTATGTTAATCAGTCCGCCTTATGATCCCGTGCCCGGGAAATTTGAATTGACCTATAACCCTGGATCTTGCCACTGTTGCTAAGTTACCTGCTGACATCTCAGAACCCAAATCCCTCCTCCTTAATACTCTATATATTTGTTACTCCTTCCGTGAATAAAGGAGACTTGATTGGGCTTCATCTTGTCTCCATCCTTTGTGTCTCTTGTCCCCTCTTCATCCCCACTCCCCCTCTAGGGTCTCCGTGGATTTACCTGCAGGCTGGGACAGCAAACATTATAGAAGTCAGTATGAAGATTTCTAAAAAATCTATGAATTCCATTCTACTGAGCAATTTTACTTACTGGTATCTTCTCAAAAAACTTAAAAGTTATCACAGACTCCTGGGAATAGAGAGAGGGGAAGAAGAGGCCCCAGAATAGTGGCTGTGTAATCGAGAGACACTTAGGTTTAAAACACTAGCTGCACTTATGGATGATACTCAGTGGGACAAAGGATAAACTCAGTTTCCTCATCTATAAATGAGTATTGTATCAACTATGGTGCACAGTTATTAGGAAAAAAAACAATGAAACTGTCAATGCAAGCAAGTAGCACATTGCCTAGCACACAATGAATTCTACAATAGCAACAGTTCTTTTCTTCTTTGGCAAATGCAGAAAAATACTTCTAGAAAGAGCACTGGTTTTTACTTACATCATGGATTGCCACAACTCATCATTTTACTAATGATCTATCATTCCATCAATTTTATGAACAAATGACAAAACTTCAATAATTTCAAGGGCATTTTTTGAATAACATGATTTTTCAAAAGCCTCTTTTCAATAATAATTTTCCATTGTATATTTGCCTTGCTTACATTCTCACATATTTTAAAAGCCTTTTAATGCATCCTCCTGTTTGATAAGAATCCTTATCAATTTTTAAAAAAATTTCAGAGTCTTATCCAACTTACTAAAACTGCAACCATATTTAACTTCAATCTCTATGCAGATAAATTTCATCAACTATGAAAATAAAGGTCTCAATTCAAACCAAGCATACCTCAGGTAGAATTTCAAGGAGCTGGTGATTGTCTTAATGTCCCAGTCACTATTATGAAAATCAACATCTCCTGGGCATTTGGGATCTATTTGAGAAAAATAAACAAAATTTAATCTTGCAACAGGTCTTACATTTTACACCTTTAAAATTGACTAATTAAAACATAGTTACTCAAGCTTTCTAAAGATAAAAACCTTGCAATCAGTAAAGTCCCTTTCAGCATTTAAGAAGCTTGGAATTTATTGTTTCATTGAAACAATAAGAAAATGGCTCAACGAACTGAGAATTAACTCTTAGATTCATCAGAGAACTGAGGTCATGTGGCAAATTGCTGCCCTCAAAAACTGAAGGGGGGGGGGCTGGGGATTTAGCTCAGTGGCATAAGTGCCCCAGTACTGATAAAAAAAAAAAAACCTGAAGGGACAAACACAGGCAAACACAGAGAATCAAAACTTATTGGAGTGGAAGCAGCCCAGAAAGAAGACTCTTCTCCTTGAAAACAAATATTAGAATAGGAAAGCCTAATTTGCAATTGACAAACAACTGGAGGCTTACTATGTAAAAATGTGATTACTTAAAAACTCCTGAGGGGCACAATCCTAGGAGTCACCCCTCCATTTTACCTCAAAGAACCCTATCAGAATCATATAGCAAAGATCTGAGAAAAATCCTCTTATGCTTTTATGATTCTGTCAGGGACAGAAGGAAAGCAGCCATTTTTTCTTCATATGCTCAGAGCCTTCTTTTCTTAAGAGTCCCTCAAGGAACTATTTTTATCAGACCCTAACCTATTGTAGTTTTACTGGAACCTAACTTGGGTGAAGGGAAACACATAATTCAGATACCACCTGCCTTTATGTTTCTCCTAAAGAGGAAAAAAGCAAAACATAACAAACTGAAAGGCACTTGGGAAGAGCACAGGGCAAGCAAGGCACAGCTTACTAAGAGAGACATAATCATAGGCCTATAGAACATTTCCCCCCGGTGACATCTTAATAATGTATAACTAGACCTCCTGTGTAACAGAAAAATATAACTAAAACTTATACTTCTCAACTAGTATATAAAAAATCTATATGGGAAATCAAAGATAATAGAAGAGACAGAAATAAAAACACCATAGGAATATTTAGCCTCTATCATCTACAGCTACAACAGAATAGACAAAACGCTAAAACTTGTCTTGATAAACATGAAAGCTCAACAGTAAAAACCTGTATGCTTCAGTTTCCTTTACCCCATACAACAGGTATGACTTGCAACAAAAAAAAAATTACAAAGCAGAAAACATAGTTTGAAGAGGTTCAGCAAACATCAGAACCTTATCAGACACATTAGAATTTTTAAAACAACTATGTTAACATGCCAAGGGCTGTAACAAGGTAAAATAAAAGAGGAAATTAATACTGTAGGAGAGGGATGGAAATCCTAAGAACAGAATCAAAAGAAAATGCTAAAAATCAAAAACATCATAACCATAGAAAAGAAAGCCCTTTAAGGGCTCATGAGCAGACTGGATATAGAGAATCAAAGACTCACTGAGCTTGAAGAAATGTTGAGAAACACTCCCAAAACTGGAATGCAAACAGAAAAAGAATGAAGCCATAACACATATAAATTCTGTCGGACAATTATGAAAGATATGATGGAATGTCAGAAGGAGATGAAAGATAAAAGGATAAAAAAGTATGCAAAGTAATAATAGCTAAGAATTTCCCAAAACTAGTGATATATGCCAAATCACAAATCTAGATAGCTCAGATTCTTTAAGCAGGATATATACCTGAAAAATCTAGAGTGAAGCACACAATATTCAAGTTTTTAAAAAGATTAATGAAAAAGGAAAAATTCTTCAAAGAAGACTGAGAAAAAATTCTTTACCTATAGAAGAACAAATATAAGAATTACATTACATTTCTCGAGAGCAGTAGTGGTGAAGCTATGGGACACATGCTGCAGCCAGCTGGCTGATATCATCAAAAGTCCTGAAAGGGGGGCTGGGGATTTAGCTCAGCAGCATAAGCGCCTGCCTTGCAAGCAGGCAGCTGTGAGTTCGATCCCCGGTACCAATAAAAAGGAAAAAGACAAAAAAATAAAAATAAAATAAAAGTCCTGAAAGGTATACCATCACTGCTTTAGAGAAACCATCCAAGCAAGAAGAGAATAGAACAAAATATTTAAAGTATTATAAGAAAGAAGACCAAAAAACATGCGTTTTAAACTTATAATATCTTTACAAAGTTAGCAATTTGAGTAGAAGTATAGGCATTTGCCTCATATCCTCTTTCTGCTGTAGAAAAGAATGAGCAGGAGAAAAATTTTGGTTCCTGGCTTCCGCAAAAGAAAGAACTGGAACACATTTTCAGTTGGACATGGAAAAGATGCAAAAACAATATGTAACATCACAAAGAAAATATTGGTAATTTGTATAAAGTTAAAATATTATAAAGATTCTGTAACAATTGAGTAAAACTAAAAAGAATTTTTAATTCTATTTCACATGGAAATTTAAAAACTATTTATATTAAATCAGTTTCTAGTAAATACAAGAATAGAAGTAAAAACCAAAGAACATCTAGGGCTGTGGAGACACAGTAATAGTATGGTTCAAGAATGCTTCTGTTCAAGAACAAATTGGTTCATGAACAGAAACATTTGTCAAAATTTTCTTCTGTTTAGAAACTCTACACTGAGTGACAAACACAACTATAACCATCTCTCCAAGAATTGTGGAACTAATCAAGATCATAAAACAAGGTACCACCATATCTCAATGGTAAAACACTTTCCTATCATGTGTCAGGCCCTGGCTGGGTTCCATTTCTAGCATCTCAAAAACAAAAGAAAAAAAAAAGTCTTTACAAATCATGAAAATAAAAATTATATATCAAAATATGTGAAATAAATTTAATGAGGAGGCTGAAATAGTCATGCTTTAAACATGCTCATCAAAATAAAAACAGAAGTAAATCTTGACTCTAGGCAAGGAATGTAACTCAGTGACACAGCACTTTGCTGGGAAGAATAACCTGAGTTCAATTCCCAGTATTAAAAAAATTATCTATCTATCTATCTACCTATCTATATCTATATCTATTTATCTATCTATCTATCTATCTATCTATCTATCTATATAATAAATTTTGAGTCAAAAAGCTAAAGAAGAACTTGACATGGTGTCACAGTCCTGTAATCCCAGTATTTGGGAGGCTGAGGCAGGAGGATCACTGTAAATTCAAGGCCAGTGTGGGCTACAAAGTGAGTTCAAGCCAACCTGAACTACATAGTGAAACCTGTCAAAAAAACACACAAAAAAGCTAAAGAAAATACAACAAAGCAAATAAAGGTAAAGAAAAGAACGAGTAACAATAAGAGAACAAATTAATGAGGAAAACATTAAAAAGCTTTTCATATTAATACAACAAATTCTTACTTTTTGAAAAATTAAAAAATACATAGGCTACAAGGTAACATCATTAAAAATAGACAATAAGCACAAATATAGAAAAGAATAAAACTATTGAAATATAATTTAAAAAGTTATAAAGTAGTTTGTAAACTTCAAGAGTGATAAATTTCAAGGTCTAGAAGACATTTTATCAAAATTGACCTCATTAAAGTTCAAATGCTTCAGCAGATATTATTTTCCATAGTAGAAACAAAGAAAAGTTATTATAAAACTACAACATTCATAACACATATAAAACACCCCCTGAACAAATTCTACAAATCATTCAAAGAACAGAGTGCCAAAGTTCAATAAATTTTTAGGAGATATTGAAAACAAAAGAAAAAAGTTTGTGCTTCTTTCTATAAAGTAATGATAACAAAACCTGATAAAGATAGTACTTGTTGAGGGGAACCTTTTGAACTGAGTAGTGGAAGACAAAGGCCTGCACAGTGAACTCCACCTAGCCATGTAAGCTCGGCATGTCACTCAGAACCTCATAGGGTCCTGCCCAGAGCCCTTAAACAGCTGGAGGCCTGTGGTAGGTCACTCAAGTCTTGGCTAGGCCATGCCCAGCTACCCTGAGTGGCAGGAGACTTGTCTGTGCTGAGTGGTGCAAGCCAAAGGCCTGCACAGTGAACTCCATGTAACCTTGCAAGCTAAGGACCTTGCTTGGACACTTATAGGGCCCCGTGCAGTACCCCTATAGCCAGGGGCCTATAGTCCAATTCTCAGGTCCTGAATGAGCCCTGCCCAGCAACCCTAATTGGCAGGGGAAAATCCTGCACTGAGCGGTATGAGCCGAAGACCTGCAAATAAACTCCACCTAGTACTAAAGACTGGATCTGGTTCAGAACCTGGTGGGGCCACACCCAGGACCTTCAAACAGCTAGTGAGCTTTGAGGCATCATGTGGAATGAACTGAAGACCTGCATGGCATTAGGAGAATGTTTAGCTGTTCAGACTTGGTAAACCACTCAGAACATGGTAGAGTCCCATCCAGTAACCTCAAGCAGCTGAGGAGCTTCAGCGGGCCACATGGGGTTTGCTGAAGGTCTGCCCAATACACTCCCCCTACTTGAGGAGCATTGGAGTTCCTCTAGGTACATGATAAGGCCTGCTTAAAGACTCCCACTCAACTAAAAAAGTCCCTGCAGAATGAACAGCCATTATCAACCCAGGAAGCAACTGATACTTTGTATTCGGCTTCCCAAAGGGAATAAGGAAAATAAAAAAAAGAAAGAGTAAAATGTAATCTCAAACCTCTAGCCCAACCTTAAACAAACCTAGGAGATGTGGACATAGGAGAAATTGCAAGCCATACACTTGAGAATTCGGAAATTATAGCAAGTGAAGTAAAGAGACAACTCTATGAAGCTGTAAAGGAACTTAGATGAGAAATAATGTCCCAGGAAAAAAAAGAAACGATAAATGTAATAAAAGAAATGCTGAAAACAATGTTAAAAAATTGAGCAGCAATGCAAAAAGATGGAAACCTTGAATGAATAATATAAGAAAGCAACACAATGTATGAAACAGATTCAAAGAGATATCCAGGAAATCAAAAACTCCACAGACAGCTGGCAAAACCACCTCCATGCATGTGAAGATAGACTCTCAGACCTCCAACACAAGAT